CTGAGAAGGTCGGACGCTGGTCCAAGGCCACGTGCAAACACAAATGCTAGACTATCAGCATCTTTCCAGATCATCTGCTTTCAGAACTCTTTGCCCTATGTCCCCTGACCCATGTAGCAACTGTTCTCTGCCCCACCGGCTGGAAAGCAAAGCCGGCCCAGCCCTAGTCTCTGGAGGCCCCCTGCAGCTTCCCAAGGCATTATGAAGGTGCCCGCAGAGGCTGGGAGACACTGGGAAGGCGTCCTAGAGGTGGTGGTGCTGACCGAGACGAAGAGCCTGAAAGGACCACCTGGATCTGTGGAAGGAGAGGGCTTCACAAAGCAGAGTGCTCCGTCCTCTGGGGACTGTGTGTCACTTGATTTTCTGTTTCTCCCCAATCCATCCTCCGCCCTCCTGCCCCGTTCGCAAGGGGCAAGTCATGCTTCCTGGGTGCCCCGGCAGCTGGCTGTGGTTGGGCTCATCCAATGGGAAGGATGCCCTGAGGAGGTCAGAGGGGAAGAGGAAGGGAGAAAGAAACCAGGCAGTTTGCCCCTGGGAGTTCTCCACGGTTTCAGCTCCTGCTGAAAGATGAGACCTCAGAAACCCACAGGGGCAGTTCTACTCTGTCCTACAGGGTCTCTGTGAGTCAGAATCGGCTCCATCGCAGTGAGATTTGTTTGTAGGGCTAAACCAAACCCAAACTCTCTGCCATCAAGTCTACGCCAACTCATAGTGACCCTATAGAACCGCCCCTGTGAGTTTCAGGAACTGGCAACACTTAATGGGAGTAGAAAGCCCTGTCTTTCACCCTGGGAGAGGCTGATGGTCTTGAACTACTGACCTTGCAGTTAACAGCCCTGTGCATAACCACTCTGCCATAGCCTGCAATCGCTGCCAATAAGTTTCACCGCTACCCGTAAAAAGCTCTGTGATGAATGACGAGGGCAATGAATGTACAAATGTGCTTTACACAATTGATGTATGTATGGATTGTGCTAAGAGTCGTATGAGCCCCCAATAAAACGATTAAAAAACAAAAAAAAAGCTCAGTGATAGATGTACTTACAATGACAACTAACAGAGCAGCTGCTGGGATTACTTGTGTACAACCAAACGCCTCCTGGGATTTGGCGTCATGGGTTCACGGAGCCTGCCTGTTAATTAGTCTTAATCATGTGCTCTGTTTTCTCCTTCATTCATTCATGTACCTGGGGTCTTAAAACCTTACAAACAAGTTATTCAGAAAAACAAACAAACCCACTGCCACAGAGTGGATTCCGAGTCACCAAGACACGATCCCAGGGTTTCTGAAACTAAATCTTGATGAGAACAGACGGCTTCCTCTTTCTCCCCAAGAGTGGCTGGTGGGTTTAAATGGCAGGAGTAGAGTGCCCAGCCCAAGGCAATTGTTCTCTATTGACCTGGAGCACCAGAAGGCTGGGCAGAACCAGGTGGAGGACATCACAGGTGTGGTTCATTGCTCCCAGGAATGACGGCCTCTTTGGCCATGAAACCAGAACTGAACAGGGCTTGCCTACCATTCCAGAACCTTTTTTTTTTTTCATTCCAGAATATTTTGATCACTGATTCTTTAAAAGAATCCTGGTCAAAATGGAAAGAGTGTAAAACAGAATTTCAAATTCTCCTAGAATCAGATTTTCTGGAGCTATGGAGGCTGGACAAACCCTTGAAACTACCATCGTCCCTCACTATCATGACCCCAATTCTACCTTACAGACCTGGC